CAGCGTGAGGTTGGAGACATATGCAGCATTTCCAGCCATCACTGAGCAGGACCATCCCGGCAGTGTTGGATGCCATAACTCCCCTGGCCCCAGCCTACATCCAGTTCCCTTACAGCCATCACCAATGAGCCCAAATCAAACGAGGACCATCACTGGCTTCCTAAAAATAAGTGGAGCCATAGATGACACCCACATCGCAAGCAAAGCACCATCACTAATGAATTTAATGTTGTAAATAGAAAAGGGCTTCATTCAATCAACGTACAAATCATTTGTGATGCACATTTGTGGCTATCAAACTGTGGCCTGGAGGAACGCATGACTCATTCATTAAGCAGAACAGTTCTGTGGGTCTCCAAGCAGGAGCTGTTGAAGATGGCTGGCCTATTGGTGAGTGTCACAGAGTGTGAGATGTTTTTGCTGGACTTAGTTTGGTTATTAAAACATCTCATCTGTAGGTGATCAGGTGATTTGTCCTCTGACCCAACAGAAATAACTGGTTATCTTGTCCCATGCAGCTTTTTTCCTTTCGCTGCTTAACCCAACCTTTAATGCACCAAACAATATTTTCTGGTTTGCTTCAGCCTCGCTGACAAGTACCTCGATTTCAGTTTCAGAAAAGTTCTTCTTTTTCGCCCTTTTTGCCACGATGATGGCGACAGATGAGAGAAAAAAAATTTTTCACCTGTTTTATAAAGAGGCTTGTTGTTGCCCGACATGGTGATTTGGAGGCGTTTCTGAAGGCAACGTGGACGAGCACGGAGGTTAAGAACAAGTGGGATTTATCAACACTGATGACTTACTGATGTGTGTACGACCCACGTATGTACGTTTGATAAATACGGATTTTTTTGTACTCATGCACATTCAAAATTTCATTCCCACAACAGAATTCAGAATCTTTTCTCCGCACTGATGACAAATGAGGCCCCTGGACTTTATCATTAGCAGTTTATGTATTACACTGCTGCCCTACAATTGACTGACTGGATAACTGCATCAATAAACAGGTGTATTGGTAGTGCTAAGAACACATCCATCCATCCATTATCTATACACCGCTTAATCCTCATGAGGGTCGCGGGGGGGGCTGGAGTCTATCCCAGCTGACACATGGACAGGTTACCAGTCTATCACAGGGCTACACTTAGAGACAGACAACCATGCACACTCACATTCACACCTACGGACAATTTAGAATCACCAATTAACCTCAACATGTTTTTGGACTGTGTGGGATTAAGCCGGAGAACCCGGAGAGAACCCACGCTGCACGGGGAGAACATGTAAACTCCACACAGAAAGATCCCGGTGCCCCACCAGGACGTGAACCGGCAGCCTTCTTGCTGCGAGGCAATGCTAACCAACTGCTCCACCCTGCAGCCCCTCTACCTACCAGCAGACATTAAATTGCAGGGTGAACTTGTGGTGTCAGCTGATCCCATGTCAGACATTCCTCCTGTTAAAATGAGTAAATTAGGAGACATATCCAGTATTTTCAGGTGGTGGGCTTAAGACTTGGAGTTAGCACCTAATTAGTATGATAACAGATTCAGGAAATGAAACTCAAAAGGTTTAACAAACTATTATTCATTTGTCCACAAGGGGGCATTCCAGACTCTGAAGCATTACAGAACATATATGAATTGTTCGAATGACTTCTACAGATACTTGCAGGTCAGATTCAACCAAAACCTCAAAGAAGCACTAGAAAGGGGGGCTTTAGGATTCCTGCAGGTATTTCTATCATTGCTTAAATCCAAAACATGCAATAAAATTGTATCCAAACTTTATAATAGCACCCTACAGTTGAAACAGGGCAACACAACAAGAGAAGGAAATGTTTTGATATCTTTTGAGAGTTGGGAAAAAAATAAGTCAGCTACAATGGGTGTCAGCAGGGTCAGGGAGGCTAATGAAGGTAATCACTTTCATGTTTTCTGGGATTGCCAGGCTACCGTAGCATGTTCTGAATGGGTTCACGAACATATAAATAATCTATTTGGTGTAAACATTTCTTTTAAATGTGAAGTTGTGTATTTTGGTGACATATTGTTTGACAACTGGTGTGTCAATGACAAGAAGTTACTCTGTATTGGCAACAAGTACAAAAAAACCCATCAAGACAACTGATGAAGCCTCTTGGATGAGAGGTGAAACGTCTTCAAGGAACTCAAGCAAGTCCAGTTGCTACGATTAATCTACGAGAAGTATTGAGGGCAGACTACAGAAACTCAAAGGAGAATTTTCCTTAGAGAAAAAGGGGCACTGCAAATCCATACAACGCTGAGTCAGCACCATTGTCCTATGATGAAATATTTCCATCTTGGTGGGAGTGGTCCGTCCAAGATGACACTGCCTTCCATCCAAAGGGTACGAGGGGGTCACTAAATGTTTTGATGGATTTGGGTGGTTCAGGCGTCGATCCATTACCTGCTTTATGGGTAGGTGGGGCCTGTCCCAGTTGACATTGGGTGAAAGTCAGGGTAAATGATAGATACATGCACTGATACATTGGACACAACCTCTTACAACAGTGTTTTTATTTGGGTTTAAAATAGACACAGGCCTGATTGAATGATTCAGATCTGCTGACTGATCATGTCGCAGCAGGTAGCTCAGTGCTTCAGTTGTGCTGAATATTGCACATCCACAGGAAACAGGAGACTGTTGCAACATGCATAGGTTAGACATCCTTACATTTCCACACAAATACCCCCCACCGGACCTTAAAGTATCCCGTGTTACAGTGTCCACATTGACTTTGGAAGGATTTGTATTAGAATGTTTTACTTGTTTTCACTCATTTTTAAAGATAAAATTACAATATATAAAATATATCCTCAGCCTTTAACTGTATCAATACAAGGCATCAGCAGCCTCAGCATAATGACATGTTCCTTAGACGTGATACAGCCGCTTTTCATCGAAGTGTAGTTGTGAAGTAGGAAGAGTACATGAATGAGCTTTCATCTCTGATATACAGTAAACCTACTCTGTTAAGGCAAGTGGTGACCAATATGTTGTGGAAAATTTGCAAAAGAATGATGCCGGATATCTTGAAACATATTGCAAATACAAACACACACACACAAGAAAAGATAAAAGTCGTATCGATATACACACACTGGTGATGAAAATATTGGCCTCTCCATCAGCCACAAATTTCAACCAATTTATAACAAGGGGCAAGAGAAATGTGGTCCTATCTGTGGATAAAAACATCATTCTTAAAATACACACTTGTTTTATGGGAAGGTTATTACACTGGTAGATGCATTAGTCATGCCAGCTCCCTGATCAATTTTTATTCTTTGATTTTTAACAAAGCGAGGTACTATATTGTATGTCCTTAGACACAAGGCAAGCCACTGGTCAGTAAACTACGTACTGTGGATGTGGATATATTTCATCATGCCGGGTCTGTTAAGTATCTGCTTCGGGTCATCAGGACACTTCTAAAACTAAGAGTAATAAAACTGATTTATTTTGGCGGCCCGACTCTGGCTAATTCAGGATGTTTTGTTTTATTTATTTTCAAAGCAGGTTCAGCGTAGGAATGGGTTAACAGTGTTGCTCAGTGATGATTTAGACATCTCAGAAACATCTTGTAAGAGACGTAAACTTTGAAAAAGCCAGCCATGATTGTACACGACATTGTCAAGAGAAGCAGAGATGTCATCACCAAGGCGCACTGAGGTTCACAAGGCCATCGGAGGGTCCGTGTTGGTTTTATGCTGAGATCCACAAACACTAACACAATGACTAATGCCAAGTTTTCTTCCATGAAAATAGTCCTTGATGTGTTTTTGCTGTAACTCCACACCATTGCTACCTATAGAACATGTGGATGTATGTTTATGACACTGTTTCATTGCAGCTCAAGCACCCCAGCTCAAACATTGTAAAACTATTATATGCTACACAATGGGAAGCTGTAATATGGAAGTAATCCAGCTGTAGATGTTCAAACTGGAAACTGATTCTGAAGAATAATGATACAAAAAGACCCGCCCTGAAAGACGCCAGGATCAGTTCCTGTGGGGTGTCACGTAATAAACCACTGACTTCTGAATCTGTGTTTTTGAGACTGTCATCAGTGCACTTTAGTTTGAAGGCAGGAATACTCAGCCATGACTGTTTCACTCATGATGTGTCTTCAGATCAATAAAAAAACACCGTATGGACATGTTAGCAAGGTTAAAAAGAAAAAAATCACCACATGGGGTGTTTAAGGGACCCCCTTTTAATGAGATTCAATTGAAAATGAACCAAGGATAAAATCTACTGTTCTTATTTTGTGTAAATGTACTCAAAATTTTGAAAGTAAAATGCGACTTAAGCAGCAAATCAAGCTGGTATCTTCTAAAGCTTTAGTTTTCTGTCTTGGTGTTAGCGTCCCTCCACTGCAGCTCAACTGGGAGACACTGGATTAGAAATGAGGAATGGATTAATTTACTAGGTTTATGAGCCAGAAAGCCTTTTACCAGCCTAATTACCAGCCGTTTACTGAGCAAACAATACGTCTTTATCAGAGTCCATCTTGGAGTGCAGCGTGCTCCAGCCTGTCTTCTAAATGTGCTGTCCTCAGGTTGAGAAGCACCTGTTTGTACCGCATTTTGTTGGAAGATGCGTTAAGAACTCTACTTGTTCATTAGGACTTTGGCCTCATGAGAACAAGCATCTAAATCAATAGTGAAGCTGAAAAACTCACCTTTTCAGTAGTTGAGTTCACTGATGCCTCCACAGTGCTGCTGCAGAATAATTATAATATCTGATACTTTTGTTTGATTTACTTTCTTTGCTTGTTTTTCTTTTTCTACTAGATAATTTTAGACTTCCAACAAAAGTCCTTTGCTTTTAGTCGCAGTCATTCACTATTATTTAACTCACTCTCCTGCAATTAGTCTCAAAAGATGCATGTCAGTAATAACTGTAAACTCTACTTCCCCGTCGCATTCTCATCCACAGTCACAACACACTACATCACTCCAATTAAATACGCTCTGTGAATTACCCTTTAATCAAAGTTATATTCTCAATAATAAATAACTGTGTGCTTTTGTGCCCTCTAGCAGTTAAGTAGCAAAATATAATGTTACATTTCCGTTGCCTATAGCAGCTCTGTCCCTTTACTCATCATTGTCAATGCAATGGCTAGATGATTAGTGTCTTCCTTCAAATTTAAAAAAACAAAAAAAACACACAAAAACCTCCCAGTGAAAAAACAGTTTCCTTACAAATGCTCGCCGTCACGTTACATAAATAAATACAGTCATTCAAGGAAGAAATGACGATGAAAACACACACAAAGCAAAGCGCCGTTCAGGGGATGCACAGTTGCAAAACTAGAAAAAACTTTGGACGTTGAACTTTTTGCTAGTTGCAGCGTTAAGGGAGTGTGAAGGAGTTGCACTTGGAGTTCCTTTTTATCCGCGTATGCTGGCAAAGCAAAGACATCTGAATATGACTACTTTCCAACGTCTTGTTTGAAACTCCATACGGTAACGACGTGGACACATACCCCAAATTTATTCTGTTTTCATTACATTTCTTTTCATTTTTGTTTAAATAATATATAATAATAATAAAAAAAAATCAACAAATATACAAATGGTTCATAATTAAGAGCTAAAATTTTTTGAACATTACATTCAGGAACATTCATATTGAGTGAAAAAAGAAGCAATAACCAAACAAGAGAAAATAACAATAATAATAACAATAATAATAATAAAAAAACATATTCACAATAAGTATTTTTGAAGACTATTTATCGCCACACAGTTACCATATGATACAACTTATTACTAGTTCCTAGCAGTCCAGACTCCCTTGCAGGGTGATGAGTTATTATAGTTTCTCCTTCGAGGGGATCCAGATATAGGGTCCTGAATGTTCCTCTATGACCTGTTTGCAGTGGTTATAAATGTCCTCTAAGGTGTCTCCTTGAACCAACGCTGCAAAGCAAAAACTGTGTATGAGCTGTGTACCGAACATCACTCACATTCAGACTTTCTCACTAAACATTCAGTAAAACCTCACGGCTGCCTGTTTATAGCCCCTGTGCAGTACAGAAGATTAGAAAGGCCCCGTAGATCGTTTCTATCAAGTTGTACACTAATTACTGCTGGCATTTGGAAGTTTCTAAAAACAAGAAAAGTTAGGACATTTTCTATTATCACATAAAAACTTGACACTTAAGGGCTTTTACATACCTTCCTCTTTAAAATTATTCCACATTTTCATTAAACTCAGAAATGACAAACGCTGTATCTAAAAGGGAACATCTGGTATCTTTAAACTAGACTATCGTATGAAAGGTCAAAATTATAGATACCAGAATCCTTTCCCAAATGTCTGTCACCAATAACAAAACACACTTATAATAACAGCAAAATATATTTACAAATTAACTGACATGTCTGTAATGTCTACTTTTAAAGTGTGGATGAGGAAATCACATATCTGTGGCATCTGCATGCAGTCATGTGGGCATCACCGTTCCTGTTCTGAGGTCAGTTTGGAGGAGAGCTTTGACATCAGTATTCTACATGCTTAACTGTGAGGCACAAGCTGGATACGAATGGTTGCTTTTGCATTGGTTGTTTCTGTTACTATCATACCTGTGAAGGATTCACCAAACTCTTGTTCCAGCTTCATAGCCCTGTCAAACGTCTTCTTGGCTTGTTCCTCTGTCAATCTCTTATTCATGTCCCTGCACAGAGGGGACAGGACACAAAACACACGTGACCAAAGTCCCAGGCAGCAATCTACTTTAAAGTCCCCCTGCACTTAAAAATGCATCGCTGTACTGTACTGAACAGCACTACGCGATACTGTTGCTGTTTTCTGGTCAGAATGATGTCTGAGGGAAGTCTGACATGTGAGTGTTTTCAGAGCTATGTGTTGAGCTACATTCAGCTTTAAGACAAGCATGTACAAACATGATTTCTGACACCGGCAACATTGTGGAAGCTCAGTCCAATGAGCAACAAAGTGAGGTATGCAGCTTATAACTTTCAGCAAACATTGATTGACAATGGACTTGCAGTAGGACAAATCTTGTTTCTAGCAACTAAATCTTTAAAAATGAACCATATTTAGATGTTTAAACATCCAGATTTTGTATTTTTATTTATCACAGAAGGATTTTTTTTAGTGATTTATTATCTGATGCAACTGATGCAGAAAAAAAGGACAATAATTCCATATGCAGTCTTAAAATTACAGAGGTGCATTCACAAAAAAATCTGCTAATTTGATGTACTTTACTTTCCAAAATGTGAACAAATACACACAAAAACCAAATTAGAGCCCACAGTGTGATTCACTAAAAGCATGTATCAGGACAAGAACTGGAATGCTTAAGAACTTGCGTGTGAATGATCAGATTTTTTTCCATTTTAGTGATTTTGAGGTAGTTATCGGTCCATACAATGCTACATGGCAAAATGACACTTTTATTGGCTAATCTGGCATATTTTGAATTCCAAAATGTAAAATGCAAGGTAAATTGCCACCCAATGTAATCTATTCACTATATCCAAAAAAAAAAACTTTAATTTTAAAAAACAAAAACAAGTTGGGTTGTTCCCTAAATGATTATATGGCCGGCATGTACACCTGCACTCATGTAAACAATCACACCCCTAATATGAACATTTATCCCCCAAAATGTTTTTTTTAACACACTTAATGTGTTAAAGTCTGGTTCTGACAAGGTTTCTTGTGGCTATAGAGGAGTTTTTCCTCCCACTGTGCTGCTTGTAAGGGAACTGTCGGGTCTTTCTCTGTAATACTGTCGGGTCTATTACGTAAAGTCCCTTGAGATTACTTGTGCTATAATTGTAAAAGTAATTGCATGCTAAATTAAAACTGAAAGCTGGCAGTTAAGGCGCCTAACTGCTTGTAATATATATATATGTGTAACCTGTAACACACAGGTTTATGTTCTGTTAGTAAATGAATGATAAATGGAACTAGTAGGAACCAGTCTATTGGAAAACTGAAGTATATAAATGGTTTGTGGTAAAACTTTAAATTAATACTCACATTAGCGAATCAATAGACTTCGGTTTTATGAAGATGGCAATGGGATAGAGTTGTGCTACTTGTAGTCTTTTGATGGCATTTCCAGACACATCCAGAATGCAGTGTTTACCCTGGGACAGAGGCATGCATTTAGAAGAGATGTAATACACAGAATAGCACAAATTCTAATATTAAAGCTTCACTCTGCAAAGTTCTTTAATATAAAAATAAATCCCATGTGTTATGATCTGTTCTGTTTTAGCAGATGAACAGACCTCACACCACAAGGCCTGAACTTCAGATTCTTAAGTTTACATTTTTGCCAACATGCAACTCTTATACAGAGGTTTAGAGTCTCACCCGCTCAGCCACATATTTCACAGATTGGACACTCGTTCCATACAGGTTATCATTGTACTGCCCCGCCTCAATGAACTTGTGCTCTTGGATGTCTTTCTCCATTTGCTCTCTGGACATCACAAAGTGGTAGTCCCGCCCGTCCACCTCGTAGTCCCTCTTTGGCCGAGTGGTATCTTTGGTGTGAGGATGAGGAGAATAAGCTCTTAGTAGCCATAACGAGACAAAGTACACACTTGCTGTATTCATGATTTCTCACTTAAGAACTCAATAAAATCTCCAAAACACAAAACACATCCTACACCACAAATATTAACGATGCATATTAACGTCTAACTGCTGATACCTTGTTGGAATTACCAACAACAAAGATAATAATTCCAATCATATTCTAAGATTCTCAGAAATATGAGGTGGATTGTCTACCTATGTGCTATGGAAACTAAAGCTTTGGCAAACAAGGAACTATTATTTAAATGCTAGTATACACCGATAGCCAAAACATTAAAACCAGCTGTCTAGTATTGTGTAGGTGCCCTTGTTCCTCCAAAACGGCTCTGACTCATAAAGGCCTGGACTCTACATGAACTCAGAACCTATCAAGAAGGATGTGAGCAGCAGATGCCTGAAGTCCTGGACGTTAGGGGGACCTCCACGGAGTAGACTGCTATTTGTTCAACACATTCCAAAGGCTCAAAGATCTGGGAAGTCAACATCTTAAACTCTTCATTGTGTTCATCAAACCATTCCTGAATATTGTGACAGTAAGATGCCACTGCCAGCAGGGAGTACAACTGCCATGATTATTCTCGTAGATTAATTAGTCGTTAGTGCTCCCCCTGCCAACTCACAAAACGAGGGGGAGGAGCAACAAAAACTCAGGTGTTAATGGCTCCTTAAGGCTATCAGTGTCTGGAACTCCCAACTAATCAGTCAGAACTGATGAAGCCTCTTGGATGAGAGGTGGAACGTCTTCAAGGAACTCAAGCAAGTCCAGTTGCTACGATTAATCTACCAGAATAACCATGACCTGGATGACTGAGAGTCTTCACAGACACAACTGCCATGAAGGGGTGTAACAGTGTTTAGATAGGTGCTACACGTCACATGACATCACATGAATGTTAACATCTCTTCCTCATGTAATCAACATGCACACACCCTGCCATCCAGATGATATAAAAGAAAACGGGACCCATCAGCATTAAGAACTGACTGTTCACTTGCTGCCTAACATACCCCACCCCTGGACAGGTGCCACTGCAAAACTGACTTCACCCGTTAGTGGTTTTAATGTTGTGTCTGATCAGTGTACCTTTGAAAAAACAAGCTGTCTAACAAATAGTGCTTCTACAGTGTTAGGAAATGCACGTTATCACATTTCAACAAATATATACAACATAGCACGAGTGTCTCTGACACCAACAATCCCTAAATGGATGTACACAAGGAAAAAAGGAGTGTAAAAAAATATGGGAACAAACTGCTTTAAACTTAACTTTCTAAACAAAAGGGTGGAAAAATCAGCTTATCGGCTCACTTACCTTGGCAACCTGAACTGTTAGCAGCTTTATATGGTTTAAAGGGTAAATTGAAATAAAAGAGATGGACAAATCAAAACATGCAAAATAAAAACATTGCCTGATGAGGAGTATCATCACCATCACACAATGCACACAGAGGCGACCCTGTTTAGCTGAGATCACAAACCTTGTCACACGTAAACAGTTAAAAGTTGTTTATCAAATGTTTGTTTGTCACTAAGACCAACTTTGCCTCCACACAGACTAAGACTGGCTGGATGAGTGGATGAAGCTGGTGTACAATGAAAATGACTCCACAGTGAATACAATCACGGCAAAGACTGATTAAGTCGTAAACACATCAAAATGCACAACTTTTGGTTATTGTCAGCATCACATCACGTCATACCACAACTATGATTAAATAATGCAAAATGCTGCCTGTGAGTTCACATATTGTCTGTTTCACTGTTCATGAAGAATGAAAAAATAAATTCTTGCTCTGTTTGCATGACCTACTTACGTGGCACACATGATCCAAACTTGTCTGGGAACTCTGATATCAGATCGTCATTGATTCTGTCCTTCATCGGTCCGAGGATTATGATAGGTCTGGCATAAGTAACTGGAAAGAAAAACACAGACTGAGTGCATTTCTTAAATATTTCTTTAGAAGTCACCACATCTGATTCATTGATTTCAGACAGTGTTTTTTTTTTTTTTTTTTACATTCATTTAAAAACAGCTGAAGAGAGGAGTAAATCTTATGAATGGTATTTTTCTTATGATGTCTGTAGCTGAGCAAAGACACATTATGCAAAATATGTGGATATATTTAGAACATAAACAACAATGAAATGTATGAATATGAAGATACAGACAATGGTGGGCCAACGTTAGTGACATTCCTGCTGAGCGCTGACTGCCTCCAGTCTGCTGCAGCACAGCACCTTATCTGACAAAAGCAAACTGAAAACTACATCTCCTAATTTGAAATATCGCTGTAGAAACTCTTAATTGGTGATGTCCCAGTAACCCTTCTGGGTTGCAGCGTACCACTGGATAACCAACAGCAGTTATGACCAAGAAGACTCCTGATGTAAGGGTTGGATTTTTGTCTTAGTTCACTAACAGTAGATAGTTTACTATCTACACAGTTGGTGAAGAATCATGCATATACATACAAACATATTTTAGTTTAAAATGTACAATAATTTAATAAAGCAATGTGATAAGATTGCTT